TTTCTTTCTTTCTTTCTTTCTTTCTTTCTTTCTTTCTTTCTTTCTTTCTCTTCCTTTTGTGTTTGTATGAGTTTAAGCCTTTCATTATACATGTTGATTCAAGGCCTCTGCCCAGCATGATCAGCCTAGGTAAGCCAGAAAGAAAACCCTGTCTTCGGATACAGATGCAGGTGCTCTTTGGGAGCTCATTCTTGTGTTCATTCACAACATACAGAGGCATGTGGACAACCACTGACGCAGCCTGAGAAGTCCTTCCATTCATCATTTAAAAATTGAAGACCGAGGAAGACAGACCTGAGACCTGTGGGGGCAGAAAAACTGACAGTGCTGCCATTTGGCTGCCCAGAGTGTCAATACTCAGAAGACTCTCAGATCCTCGTTAAGAACTGGAATGCACACTTGTCAGCGAGTTCTTGCTCTGGAGGTCCATCCCCTAAGAGCAGCCCACTGCTTGTGCTCTGAATCTGTGGTTCATATTTGGATATTTCCCAGGAACGGATGTTAGAGGAGTCGTGTGCTTGCAAAGCACAGGTCTGTCCACAAGAAGAAGAAATTAGAGGCTGACACTGGGCCCTCCCAGAGATGACCACTATGGGCAGTTAACTGGGAGACCTCATCTCCATAGCAAAATCACCATGGCTAGAACGCACACCTCCCCAACCTTCCACAGACAGACTAGGCCTCCTCCATGCACCTCAGGATTACAAGCCCTTATCCTGCTAAACTCTATCTGTATAAGATACAACTATCTCGCCTCTCTTTGAATCTAATATTCCCATGCTTCAGGCATAAAGTAAATTTTATGTGTTATTTTCCCAATACTTCCCTCACTGTCTTGTCAGGGGTACATTTTTAATATCTTGTCACTTTTAGGAGTGCAAAAGCTAGGCAGATGCTGAAATATCACTTTATGAAGGATTTCATGTGAATTTACATTGAAATAAGAGATATCTGTACTTGGCCATTATAGTAAGGTATAGACTCTTAGTGATGTTGGACAAACATTTCTGACCACAGAGCGCTATAAATAAGACTTTGTAACATAGCATCTGACAGAAATTCTTTCATTACTGTCATCTATGTATGATGGCAAAAGAGAATCTGTGGGAAATATTTTGAGTTTCTTTAAAGCCCAGCACTGGACTGGAGATGCAGCTCAGCCTGTGTCAGGCTCTGGGTTTCATCCAGTAAGTTAGGGGAAGGGCTGCTACTGTAGAATCTACTGCAATATTTATAATATTTAAGGTTATCTTTTTTATTGTCATTTTTCAACTTTGCCACAGTTGGGATCAGATAGTTGTACTCCCACATAAATTCCTATTTTATTTTATTTTATTTTTTTGTTTGTTTGTTTTGTTTTTGTTTTTTTTTTTCCGGTACCAGGAATCGAACTCACAACATCACGCTTGCCAGGCAAGCACTGTGCCACTGAGCTAAATCTCCAGCCCCTTAAATCTTTTATTTTTGTTTGTTTGTTTGCTTATTTTTTTCTGGTACCGGGAATTGAACTCACGACCTTGCGCTTGCCAGGCAGGTGCTGTGCCGCTGAGCTAAATCCCCAGCCCCTAGATTCCTATTTTAGAAAATACCAAAGTATTTTCCATTAATGCCTTTGGAATTATTTCTTTTTCTAAAGTATCGTCTCTTTTATTATTTCAATAAGTGGCCCTTTATATTTAATAATTAATAAAATACGCATGTTTTAAATTTATAAGACCAGTGCAGTTGAGAGAAACTGTTAAAAATCTGAGGGAATAAGAACACTTAAGGTAACAGTTCTAAATAGTTTATTTAAAAATTGATTGTCTCATGATACAATGGCAAGCAGAAACACCAAAATGACATCCAGGGTTTGAAGGCAGATTCATTTACGGCAATGGGCACTGATTGGGATCATTCCCAGAATATCAGGCCCTGATCTCTGGTGGTCTAGGGTTTATGAGATAAACAAGCAGGAAGTACAGAGGCAGAATGACTTGCCAGTTGTGGGTTAGTTTATACACTGTGCATCATAGTGATCAGCCTTTTCTAAGAGACAGAAGCAACTGGAACTAGAACAGGAACTATTGCCTGGGCAACTAAGAAACTGAAATATACTGGCTGGGGTGGGGGGCATTTTCTGTTACAATAAAGTAGTAAAATATAAAATGTTCAGATGTACTTCTCCCTTCTATTACTTGAAGAAAACTGTCTCTCGCTGAATTACCTACTGATAAATCCCTTTAAAAGCTGAGAAAAATGTATAGATCTGGATGTGCTGGCATATCCCTGTAATCCTTCCCCTTTGGGAGGCTGAGGCAGGAGGATTGCAAGTTTGAGTCCACATTGGGTAATTTAGTGTCTTAGCAAGAGCCTGTCTCAAAATTAAATACATAAAACATACACACATATAAAATAAAAGGGCTGAGATGTAGTTCAATATGAAGGCCCTAGGTTCAATCCCCAACACTGAAAATAAAATAAAATCTTAAAAAAATTTTTTTGCTCTCCCAAGTGAAATGTTAAGAAGTAAGAAGTATAAGGGAAAGTAAATAATTGTAGAGCTCAACTATTCTTTATACAAAAGGATAAAGAACTTTATAGAGTCCAAAAACATTTCCTAAAGTGTTTGGTCATTTACACTTTGATTCCTTGTTTATCTGTAGCACTGAGATAAGTCAAAGAAAAGCTAGAGAGCTCTACTTCCTTTTTTCATTCAACTACTCTAAGAATTTCAAACAGGAAGTTTTGTGTCCTCGACTGTCAGAGGTAACACTTGATGAATTTCTTTCTGTTTCTGTATTTCCGGCGTGCATGCCCTCCCCTCACCCCTGAGTTTGGGACTTGACTGTCCCCTTCCGGGTTGCTGAAGCCAAGCTAATTTTTCACATATGATGTTATTCAGGGGCTGATAGTCATTTCTTATTTGTATTTGTTTCTTCTTATCCCTATTTTGAAAAGGTACGCAGCATATGAGCAAAGAAGGTTAAAGAAAAAGTAGAACTCACTCAGTGGTTTTAAAATTTTTTTTAAATTTCATTTTTTGCAATTACTAACTAGGTAATTGAATATAGATTAGAGCAATATTTACTAATATTCTGAACGCTAATTATAA